TAGGGAAGGGACACCTCCCACTGTCCCAGGTTGTTCCAATCTGGCCTTGGATACTTCCAGGGATGGGGCAGCCACAGCTTCTCTGGGAAGTTCATCCCAGTCCCTCCCCACCCTCCCAGGAGGACTTCCTTCCCAATATCCCCCCTAATCCTGCCCTCTGGCAGTTTGAAGCCATTCCCTGTATTGTCCTGGCACTCCTTGGAAACAGTCCCTCTCCATCTCCATTTATTCCCCATGTCCTGTGCACCAGCTCAGGAAAGGATCCAAGAATAGTTTGGGTTGGAAGGGACCTCAAAGCCCATCTTGTCCCACTCCCTGCCTTGGACCTCAGATGAGGCTTTTGATGCTTTTGATGCTTTTCCTTCTCAATCTATTCTTGGCTTTTTTTTTTCTTTTTTTTGCCTTTTCCCCTGCAAAAGCTCAGCATTCAGGTACTGATGGAGATCAGAGACTTGTGAGAAGCTGCTCAGCCCCCAAACTCCATCTGCTTGGGTGGTTTTTTTTTTGTTTTTTTTTTTTCTTTCTTTTCTGGAGCACTAAATAAAGGCAGGGAGATAAAAGTCTCTGCTTGGCACCCACTGGAAATTCAGCAGGAACAGCAAAACAAAGGCTTGGAGGAGAATGACATCACCAATGCCTGGATGTTTTCAAGCTCCTTAAAGCTGTGCTGCAAAAAAGGTGTCACCATCCCAAAAAAAGGATGTCCAAATCAGCCCTGCCTTGGGATTGAGAGCCCAACCAACCTGTTGAGCTGGGCTGGAAGCTCAAGGGAGAAGGGCTGGGAGGGCACAGCTGCCACATTTCCCCTCCCCTGGCACGTGTTTCCCTGCCCTGAAGCTCCAAGGCAGGACTTGTGCCAGCAAAAGGTGATTTTTACATAAGCTGGAGGGAGAGGAGTGGGTGTTGGAGTGGGCAGTGCCTGCCCACGTGGGGGGGGGGAGGGGTTTTCATCTGTCAGCTGAAAAGGTGGAAAACCGAAAATTCCTTGGCTCGTGTGGGGATTGGGGATCAGGGTTGTCATTCCACAGTTCCAGCTGAAGGGTAACAACAAAAATAATAGTAATAATAATAATAAAAAAAAACCTCACAGCTGGGCAGCTTCAGTTTGTGCCACCCCTTGTGTTGGGGTTTTTCCACTCAAAATGAGGGAGTTTGGCTTTGTTTTTTTTTTTTTTTTCTCCTCCTGTGGCAAAAACTGGGCAGGGCAGGAAGAGTTGCCACCTTCCCCTTGCCCCTCAACCTGCATAAAAGCTGATTGACAAAGGTGAGGAGGTCATACATCAGACCTGAGGAGAAAAAGTCATTTTCCCATTTTCAGAAGGAAGAAAACACCCTAAAATTGGGAGAAAAGGAGGCTCAGGGGGGACCTTCTAACTCTGACAGGAGAGAGGGAAGCCAGGTCGGGCTCTGCTCCCAGGGAACGAGGGCCAGGACGAGGGGAAAATGGCCTCAGGTTGTGCCAGGGGAGGTCTAGATTGGATATTAGGGAAAAATTTCTCCCTGGAAAGGGATTTTCAGGGAATGGCTCAGCTGCCCAGGGCAGTGGGGGAGTCCCCACCCCACAGCCATGTGGATGTGGTTTAGGGGTTGGACTCGGGGATCTTGGAGATCCAACCTCAATGATTCCGTGACTCCATGAAAACAATCAGCTAGGGGTTGGGCGGGGGGGAGATTTCCCTTCCAAAAATCCACCAGAACCCAGAGTCAGATCCCCCCTCAAGGCCCGAGCTGAGCTCTGCGTGGGCTGCTCGGCCCGTTGTGTAAGAGGGGAAAAATCTTGGAGCAGGAGCCTGGCACCTTTCCCACTGTTTGTGCCACTGCAGATGAGGCCTTTTGGCCCAAGCCAGTGCCTGGTGGAGCTGGGAATTGCTGATTTTTTAATTTTATTTTTTATTTATTCCCTTCCCTCCAAACGTGCCCCCCCCCCCCCCCCCCCCCCCCCCCCCCCCCCCCCCCCCCCCCCCCCCCCCTGCTCAGACCATGCCCCTGGCCCCGGTGCCACCCTGCCCCTGCTGTCACACACCTGGTACCTGTTCTCCCCCTCCAGGCTGAAGCTGTGGAGATGGATGGGTTTCAGGCTGACACCGAGGAAGATGAGGAAGATGATGACTGCATGATTGTGGATGTACAGCCAGCAAAAGGTGGGAATGCTGACACTCCCCCCAGGGAGAGCACGGCAGAGCAGGGACAGCGGGCACCTGAACTTGGGTTTTTCTGCCCCTTTTTTCACCATTCCTTGAGCTCTTCTCTCTCTCCAGCTTTTATCCTAAACACTTCTCTGCTTGTTATCATTTTTTTTTTT